CCACGATCCGGAACAACTTCTGAGTGCCGAAATGTCCGAACTCGCTCAAAACTCACCCCGAAACTCATCCGAGGCCCACGAAACCTCAACCAAATGTACCAACACATCCCATAACATCATACGAACATAGCCCCACTCTCAAATCACTTCAAACAACGCTAAAACCACGAATCAGATGCCCAAACACATGAAAATCACTATGAACTTCAAGAACCTCTAGAATTGCAACCAAGCGTCCGAACTATAGCAAATCAACTCCGAATGACACCAAATTTTGCAGGCAAGTGCCAAATGACATAACGGAGCTGTTCCAACTTTCGGAATCACATTCCGACCTCGATAACACAAAATTAAACTATGGGTCAAACCTCTCCATTTTCCAAACTTCCAACTTTTCCAACTTTCATCGAAATGCCTCAAATTACCCTATGGGCCTCCAAATCCAAATCCGAACACACGCCCAAGTCCAAAATCACCATACAAAGCTACTGACATCATCCAAAACTCATTTCGGAGCCGTTTACTCAAAAGTCAAATTCTCTCCGCTTAAGCTTCCAGAACTATATTCCTTCTTTCCAATTCGACTCCGATTCATTCAGAAACTGAATAACCTGCTCACAAGTCAATATACATAATGTGAAGCTGCTCTTGACCTCAAACTGCCGAACCGATGCAATTGTTCAAAACGACCAGTCGGAATCGTTACAGTACATTTTTACTGATATATTTTTGATTGAACATAGCTTGAGTTGCAAATAATGGATGTGACAAACTAACCCCTGCCCTAAATGAGTTAGGCAAGAGGCCAACCAAATTGTACGCGCCGACAAAAAGATTCCGAACATCTTTTTTTTTGGACACTAGATTCGTCCGACAAACCTTCAATGCCTACCACCGTGGATCTGGTTAACCCCAATGACCCACCCACCACTTTTACCTAATCAAGTGGAGTAATAAATTATACAACTACCAACCAAATTCACGTGGGAGATGGTCCCCGCTTCCCACTTGATACCAAAGTTGCCCACTTTCCAACTCACACAACAACAATTCAGCCAAATCCAACCCCCTTAGGTCCCTATTCGATTCCACAAAATCAATTAATACCCCAAACACAGGGAGATCTGAACGACGAGATCTGCAGCAGAAAGACCTGTTAGTCTCAGAACAGATCCAAACGGACGGATGAGTTTGAAAGGATCTTTCCTGGAAGAGGAAAAATTCGTATTGGAGCTAAAGATATGCAACACGTGTTCATTGATTTTGACAACAAGGATGATCATATGGATGTATATGCCAGACCTTTCTTGCAATTTGGGGATCATGTAATGAAAATTCAGAAATGGACTAAGAGGTTTAAAGCGGGTGCTAAAACAACCTTGACCACTATCTGGATTAACCTTCCGGATTTACCTTGGCATTACTATGAATGGGCTGCTTTGTGCCTGTAAGCATGGATAAGGCCACTCTCTCAAAGACAAGGCCTACTGCTGCAAAAGTAAGGGTTGAGATTGACCTAGCTAAGCTTATGATTAACGAGGTTTTAGTTGAAATACGGAAGAAGGATGGTAGCTTGGAAACGATCGTGCAGAAAGTGGAGTATGAGACCTTTCCTGCTTATTGCTTTCATTGCAAAGTGCAGGGTCATAGTGATGACAGATGCAGGGTCCAACATCCTGAATTTAGGAAGGGAGCAGCAACCTCAGATAAGCCTAAAGAAGGAGACAGGATCCTATTTAGGGATTCAGGGTCTTACCAGCAAACCCAACAAAATAAAGGAACATACACCTATGCAGGTGGATACGCCAAAAAGCCAACTAGTGCCTCCAACTGTACCTGGGAACCCAATCGATCAGGAGATTCGAGCTGTCAGCGTAGGAGAAGCTGGGGATGAAGCTTGGCAGGAAGTTGCAAGAAGAAAAGGAAAAGGCTTAAGCAACAGAAGGAATGAAGCCTCCAAAAATAGTGCAAAAGAATCTAAATTGATCCAAAATTCTCAATCGAATGGAGGGTCTCGATATTTCAGAAGGAAAAATGGTCAAAATGTCATTACTGTCAATCACAATGATAGTGGGCAGCAAATTAGCATGGATGTTACAATCAATGGGAGCTTGGTAACTGGACAAAAGCCTTCACAACCACGAAAGACAACCAGACTAGACAAAGAAAGGACCTCTAAGAAAAAGGCAGTGAAGCCTTTATTCAAGGAGATTCAGAGACCTGTCGGGAAGGTGAAGCAAAGGAAGGAGACTTTTCTACCTGCCGCGGAAGACCACTATCAAATTATGCAAGAATCTATGCTTCAAGTCAACCAGGAAGAGATGAGTGCGATTAGAAAAAAGAAGAGACGTTTGGCCACCACTATAAGCATCCCAGATGAGGTTAGATTGAGGGAGGAGGAGGAAACTAACTACGAGATGGTAAGCCAAGTTAAAATGTTTGGCTTGGATCCTGAGCTTTCAGCTAGGATTGTTGCAAGGAATGCTAAATAGAAGGAGAAGGAAGCCTTAGATGGTGAACCAACATTTCATGATGCTCTTAGTGTTCAATGTTTGGTTAACTCTCAGAATGATGACTATGAGCAACTCACTCAAAATGGTGAACATGCAGATCCTAGAGGGGGCAGCACCAATATCACTAATCCTTGTTCCAACAATGGTGAGGAAGATATCCGAGCTAACTGTCTAAACGAGAACTTTAATGATGTTGGAGGCTCTCTCACCAGAACTGGAGACCTCCAAATCAGATGACGAACAACAAAGGCGGGGCAAGAAAAAACTTGAAGATGGTAGTAATTGTGCCAGGCAAGTGCGCCAAAGTGTTACCTATTTCAACAATCTGTCTCCTAGAGGGGTAATAAGCTCAAATGTTGGGAGAGCTGTAATGTTCCTGAAGGGAGGCAAAAGAAACAACAAATTGGAGACAAATGGCCTAATATGTGATGTTTCTCATGATTAGTACAATTTCATGGAATATTAGAGGTATAGGCTCTCAAGGAGCTTGTGAAAGACTCAAAATTCTCATACAACAATACAAATTACCATTTGTAATTCTACAAGAGCCAATGGTGAATTCCAGGAAGATTGACAAATATAAAAGGATACTGGGATATCAATCTTGTTTTTCAAATTGTGCCAACAAGATTTGGATATTTTGGTCCTCTGACTATGTGATAGATATTCTGGAGGATAGAGAACAACATGTTCTCTTGCGGATTTCTAACTCTATAGGTACTCAACCCTTTTACATTTCTGCTCTCTATGCAAAGTGTGATGAGACTTCGAGATGTGTCTTATGGGAGGAGCTTAGAGATTTAGCCAGTGGGGTTAATGGTCCATGGGGGGTGGTGGGTGACTTTAATGTTGTTTCATGTGAGGAGGAGAAGAAAGGAGGAAGACCTTTCAGAGTTGAAAATAGTTTGGATTTTCTGGCTTGTTTATCTGACTATGGACTTCAGGATGCTGGATATTGTGGCTCTCTGTTCACCTGGAGTGAAAACAGGGATCCCCCCAATACTATTTGGGAGAGGTTGGACAGGCTGGTCTACAATGCAGAATGGTTTGATGCATTTGGGAGCACAGTCGTCACCCACCTATCTAGGTCTTGCTCTGACCATGCTCCATTACTGATATCTGCGGCCAGCACTGACTGTGATTTTGTAAAGTATTTTAAATTTCTCAATATATGGGTAGAACATGAGGAGTACTTGGGAAAATTCAACAAGCCTGGTCAGAAGAAGTTTTTGCAATCCTTTGTACATCTTTCATCAGAAGCTTAAGAAAGTGTGTTCTACTCTCAGTGCTTGGTCCAGACAAGCTTTTGGTGATATATATGAAGAACCAAAGAGGCTTGAAGCTCTCATAAGAAGTTTGGAGGAGGCAATGATCTCTGATCCATCTCCTTAATGCAGAATGAACTTATCTAAAACAATAGCGGAATTTACTAGATTTTTAAAGCTGCAGGACTCAATTCTGAGGCAGAAGGCAAGAGTTAAATGGTTGACAGAGGGTGATGATAACACAGCTTCCTTTCATGCTGAAATCAAGGATAGAAGGAGGAAATTAAACATCCAAAGGATCAGAGATGATAATGACAACCTTATGGAAGGTACTACAGAGGTGGAAGGAGCAGCAGTCAGATTCTTTCAACAACTATTTGGTGCTGAAATAACCATTGAAGATCTTACTGTGCTGGATGTGGTGAAGAGAACTGTTACTGAAGAAGATAATGCTTTCCTCACTGAAATACCAACCATGGAGGAGGTTAAAAAATGTGTCTTCATGTTGGATGCTGATAGTGCACCTGGACCTGATGGTCTTACTGGCAGGTTCTACCAAAGTGCTTGGTCTATTATTGCTGAAACTGTGTTTAATGCTGTAGTGGCCTTTTTGGATGGAGCTCAGTTACCAAGATTTTTCACTCACACGTGTCTTGTAATGCTTCCAAAGGTGGAATCCCCTCAAACCTTCTCAGACGTTAGGCCTATTAGTTTGTGCAATGTGTCTAGCAAGATTATTGCTAAGCTCTTAAATGCTAGATTAAGTACCCTGTTGCCTCGAATCATTTCACATAATCAGAGTGGATTTGTTAAAGGTGACATAACTGAAAATATTTTGTTGGCTCAAGAGATTGTGAATGATATTGGGAAACCTGTTGAGGGGAGCAATGTGGTTATGAAATTAGACATGGCAAAAGCATATGATAGAGTATCATGGTCCTTTCTCTGCCTCATGCTGAGAAAAATGGGTTTTGCTGAGAGCTGGATTGACATTATTCATAGATATATTTCAAACAATTGGTACACAATAATTGTGAATGGGAGTAGGCATGGATTTTTTAAATCTGGTGAGGGCTCAAGCAAGGTGATCCCCTCTCGCCTTCTCTTTTTGTTTTGAGTGCTGAATTGTTATCCCAATTATTGAATGAACTCCAGAAGCACATAGGGTACAAAGGTTTCTACATGAGTAGTCATGGTCCACAAATCAACTATCTCGCCTTTGCCGATGATACTATTTTATTTTGCAATGGTGGGAAAGCTACTCTTGAGCTTATCCAAACTGCATTAGAAACATATGAACAAGTTTCTGGGCAGAAGATCAATAATTCTAAATGCGGTTTCTCATTGGCTTCTTCTGCAACACAAAGATCCATTCGCAGGATTGAGGAAGTAACAGAGATGAGACATGAACCCCTTCCTATCAAATACCTCGGTTGTCCTATATATTCTGGTAGAAAAAAGTTGTCTGCCTTTGCAGGGATGGTTAGCAAGGTGATTAACAGGATCAAGGGATGGTATTTAAAGCTACTTTCTTCTGGAGGCAGGGCAGTTCTTATCAGGCATGTTCTATTGGCCCTGAATGTCCATATATTGGCTGCGGTCCATCCAACCAAGGGTATTATCGCTACAATTGAGAGGTACTTAGCTAGATTCTTCTGGTCTGGGCAAGAGACTAGCGACAGATACCATTGTTCGGCATGGTCCAAACTTTGTTTTCCATATGAAAAGAGGGGCTAATTTTAGAAAGTTGGAGGATGTCTGCAAAGCCTTCACAACAAAGCAATGGTGGAGGTTCAGAACAACAAACTCCTTATGGTCCCAATTTGTCAAAGCCAAATATTGTAGAATCTATCATCCATTGATTAGTCAATGGACTACTGGCAAATCCCTTAATTGGCAGGCTATGTGCAAATTGAAATATGAAGTAGAGGATAACATCTTATGGAGAGTTGGGAGAGGTAATAGCAGTTTTTGGTATGATAATTGGACCAATTTTGGTCCTTTCTTCCAGCTTAGGCGAAGATGTCGGGTATGACAATACCAAGGTTAATGAAGTATATAAGGATGGAGTATGGGACTGGTCTTGCTTACATATTCAGCCTCTTGAAGCTGTTAAGACTTTGGTAGCCTCTGTTCACATCACAATTGGCCAAAAAGAGGATGATACTCCAATCTGGACAATTACTACTTCATGAAAATTCAGTGTGGCCTCTGCTTCGAATGCATTAAGACAAAGAAAGGATCTTGCTCCTTTTGACTCTAAGTTATGGCATAAAGATGTCCCATTTAAGATGTCTTTCTTGGCTTGGAGAGCTGTCCATGGAAAAATCGCAACAGATGAAAGGATCACGAGGTTTGGGATTTCCTTAGCCTCTAAATGTTGTTGCTGCCCTTCTCCCGGAATGATCCCAGGCGAGGAAACGTGCCAACACTTATTTTGTCAGGGACATTTTGCACAACAAGTGTGGTCAATTTTTGCTGGAATGGTTGGAATAGCTCACATGAACATCCCCTTAAGAACTCTGTTTGCTAACTGTTGGAATCATAAGTCCAAAAATTCTGTTGCTGCTTTCGTTTTCCAGATTATGCCTCCTATTGTTGTATGGGAGCTGTGGAGGTCAAGGTGTTGTAGCAAATATGAAATGGAGAGGCCATCAGTGGCAAGATCCAAATGCCTTATCACTTTTAACATTGCCCAATTAGTTAACTCTCATTTTGGGAAGCTAACTGTTAACAATAATTGGGAAGATATATGTAAATTCTTTGACTACTCTCTGGTTGAAAGGTGCATAACTGAGGTCAAGTGGCTTAAATCACCCTTGCTCTTTGTTAAGTTAAACAGTGATGGTAGTTGTGTTAATGGGAATTGTGGAGGTGGTGGGGTGGTTAGAGACAATGGTGGTAAAATGCTTATGGCTTATTCTATACCAATGGGTGAAGGAACAAGTAACTTAGCAGACCCTTCTTTTTGGCCTAAAATGGTGCGTTCAATAAGGATATGGACTGATTATTGGTGAAACTGATTCCTTGCTACTTCACAACTGCATTCAAGGCATATGGTCCACACCATGGAGAATCAACAGTTTGTTATGGAGGTAAAAACGCTGGTTGAACAAAAGGGTCTAATCATTAGACATTGTTTTAGAGAAGCAAATCAAGTTGCGGACAAGATGGCTTCTCTAAGTCATCAATTAGAGGAAGTCTATATTTTCACTTATTTTGATACATTGCCGCGGCAAGTCAAAGGGCTCCTAAATGTAGATAGATGGCAAATTCCAGCATTCCGAGCCAAGAAGAGAAGACCAAGTACCATAGTGTATGAACCACCATGAGTTCTCAGCTTTATTACCAATTGGCATGTTGGTGCGGAGATAATCCCACCAATTCTGCACTTATTGTATGAGTTTGTTGTGTCAAATTCTCAATCTATATAGAAGGCCAGGCTATACCCTCCTTCTTCAAATTGTATCTTTTGCATTGCAATGGTAATAAAATCGTGACTTGGAGTTAAAAAAAAAAAAAAAAAAGAACATAGCTTAAGTTACAGTACATTTTTGTTTTTCCACTGTGGTAGAACAGCATTGACGTTATATATATGCAAGAAAATATAGTCCTAAATATATATGCAAGAAAATATAGTCCTAAATAGGGCGAAAAAGCTCTGTAGAGACGTTATATTTGTGAACTGAATACCAAGGAGGCATATTAAGTTAAAGACATAATATTTGTGAACTGAATATCATAGGCCTAAATCATCCGGAGAAAATAAAGATAGAATTGATAAAAATTTAGTAGGCGTTTGGACATAAAAATTATAATTTTTTTTTTTTAAAAAAAAATGGTATTTGAAATTTGAAATTGTGTTTGGACGTGCATTTCACTTGAAAAAATGTTACAGTTTCATGAGTGGGAAAAAAAGCTTTTCTGGAAATATTGAAAAAGTGATTTTATTTTGAAAAACTTATTTTCAAAAAATTTCAAAAACTTGAAAACTTTCATGGACAAACACGATTTTAAAAAACAATTCCGAAGAAAAAACAAATCTATGAACAAACATCATCCATCAACCAAGATTGCAAAGAGTATAAATAGATTATACGATGATTATACACGATATATATATATATATATATATTATACATTCGATGACTAATTTAAGTTTAAACACTTGGATAGACGACTATTTAAGTTAATTTTTCATTTAAAAAAAATTATGTTTAGCTCAACTTGTCCAAGTCTGGATAGGTTAGATGCATTGGATAGATGCATTGTATATTTCATAAAAAAAATATGTTGTTCCTAAGGAAGAATCATATCTACATGTGTAATAGCAAAGATGAAAAATGCAAAACACCAAAACTTATAGACTAACAAAGCTACTAGACATCAAAATACAGATGGGTTTTTGCATATGAGTATTATTAAGCAAATGCTTTGATTACAATAGCAAGTTGTTAACTTGTGGCCACCATCAGTTTAATACTACTTTTGACCATGCTGTAATTTTTGTACCACAAGTCTGTTCACATTGTAAATCTTAGTTACAACAAAGTGAAATGATCTATACAGTTGATGCATCATATTCATCACCCAATTATATTACAACAAAGTGAAATGATTTTATCATGTAATTATATATTATACCTAATTTACAAAACTTTTCCAACTTTGCTAGAAATGTGTATGGAATTGTTAATAAAGCTAGAATTTGACCCTAAATAACTTTCTGAATCCAGCTCAATAATACTTTTTTTAATAATCGTGGTGTCGGGTCAGCTTGTGCGTACCTCGACTAATTCCACATGGTACAAATATTCACTAAGGCTTGGACAAATAAAAATAAATTATCTATTATTTTTGCCTCCATTGAAATTTGAACCTGAGACTTCATGGTTCTCAACTCATATTATTGACTAGTAAACCACACCCTACAGTAATACTTCATATGACATGGCACCCATAAAAAATAGGGGGTGGGGGTGGGGTGGGGACGGACTTAGTTATGACCACACACCCAAAAAAAAAAGAACACTCCTACACTTGTGACCCATAGCTGGATTTCTGCGTCTAATTTCTTTATCTTCTCTTCCTTTTCAAATTTACTGCATTCAAGAATAATTTGCATGA